GGACTCAGTGATCCCTGTGGGTCCCTTGCAACTCAGCATATTCTGTGATTCTGTGAACCCTGGTGATTCAGAGACATCCATTCCTCATTTCTTCAGCTCTTGGCAATGCAGTTGGCCCTCAGGAGAGCTTAACTCTTTCAAGAAATCAAAGCTCTGCTGAACTGAAGGGGAACTCTGCCATTTTTTTTTTTTTTTTGTGTAGCTACAAATGAAGCCAAATTATTCCTTCCAACTGTATATATCTTTCATTTTCTTTCTTAAAATTAGCACTTTGTTTTACATGCACTCACCACAGCAGCTAGCAATGGTGCACTGGCATAGAAATCCGACCTTCTTTTGACTGTTTGGGGCATTGACTAAAAAGTTCATTAATCAAGGCAAGTCACTGACAGAATCCAGCAGCAAGGTCAAATGTTATCTGCTGTACCTACCAAGATAAGGAGAACTGCAAAGATGACAGATTTAAGACAGAAAGATATGCTTGTACCAGTTAGATTTACTGAGTAATGGAATTTCATTGTACAAAAGATAACACTGCAGCTGAAGCAATTTCTGTACGGGAATTTAAGTCATCATGATGTGTTATTAAGGGTTTGCTGGATTTTTTTAGAGTTTGCTAAGTGACCTTGCTCCTAGCAGAGGACAGTGTTCCAGGCAGGATGGCTTGTAGGTCTGTTGCTTCAATATGATGCAGATCTGATATTTGGGCATAAGCAGCCTCATAAATGTGATTGATTTAATTAATTGGTCCTCTGACTGAATCTGAATAATATTTGTTTATCCTGATGTGAAAAAAAATGTGTTCCAATATAAAAGTAATAAAACTTCCAAACCTAAACACATCAAATGTTGTCTGTGCTGGAGGACAGTATTGCCAATGCAGAATTTCTGATTCAGATGGCAGGACGTGCCAGATAATCGTGAAAAAAAATCACCTACCTCTCGCTAATAAATGTTTAAACAAGCAAACTAAATTGCTTCTTTCTTTCTTCTAGCTTCGATGCTGATCCTTTGAGACGACATACCATCTGGACAATAGTTATTGGGGGAACATTTACGTGGCTAGGGATCTACGGAGTCAATCAGTCCACGATACAGAGATGCATTTCTTGCAAATCGGAAAAGCACGCTAAACTGTAAGCTGCCTGTCATCAACCTATTCCTGCCATCAAGCATACTGATGTGGAATTACACTAAGTTTGTCAGCTATGCTAAGTAAAAATCGGGATCCCATTAGGTGGTAGCAAGCTAATTTTGCTCTGACAGTCTTACTACCCCTTGCTCTAATTGACTTAAGTAAATGCAGAAAGAAAAAGAGATAGCTATCTATCTGTTGCAGTTTATCAATTTGTGGTCAGCCAAATTAATCCCCAGAAGCAGAGCATGGCAAAGATGCCCACACAGAAATTGTGCTATCTACAGCTTAATTGTAAAAGTGTATTTATTGCAACTGTGTTAAAATTGTATTAAAAGTGGTTATTGATTTTGTGGGGCGCTACAGCACAAGGTATTATCTAAATAAAATAAAATCAATAATTTATTAAAATTCTACCGCATAAAAATAATCAGAATCAACTTCAGCAGTAGCATGTTTTACTAAACAACCAGATTTTTTTTCACACACCTAGCACTAATTGCTTGCACACATGTCTAAAGCATAAAGGTTCTTACTTTTTTCCTTCTTCAAACAGCCTTTTTGCTAGCTGCAAACATACTAATTTTTCTTGAGGTTGTGTGTGTCTATATGAATTTATCCTGCAGAAAATTCATTGTCTGAAAAACATTTGTAAGTCACACCAGTGAGAACATCACTAGTAAGAAGCTGGGAAAGTATTTTGGGTCCCAGGTCTGAACTGGCCTTAGCAAGAGACCTTGCATAAGGTGATGTTCAAACACAGTGTGGGCTCTGTAAAATCTGGCAGCTCTCAGGACCTGCAGGCCTGCTGAACAGCAGCCACACAACCTTCCCAGCAGGTGCTGTCACCCACACCCTTTCCATGGGATGGTGAAAAACAACTGAGACTGTTACTTCACATGGTGAAGCATGACAGAATCCATCCAAAAAAGTATTCTGTGTGCCTTAACGGGTGAACAGCAACAACAACTCCCAACAGGCAAAAATCTGCTCTTACAGGGGACAGGAGTGAGGACTCAGTGCTCAGTGCAGCCCATTCTGCATAGAGGATACTGGTCTCTTCCAGCTGTACAAAGTTACCTGGAAACATTATCCTTACCCTGTAGCATAATGACGCTGTAATTCTCCATGTTTTTTTAAACTCTTGCTTTGAATTATACAGCCAGCTTTGAATTAGATAACCAGCTGTAATTAAGGCATCTCCCTAAAAGGTTTGGAATAAATAACTTGCAACAGTTTTGTTGTTATTTTGCATTGAACAGTTTCTCGCCTTTGCTCTAGGGCACTTTACCTGAATTTATTGGGACTTTGGACAGTCCTAGCGTGTGCAGTATTTTGTGGATTGGTGATGTATTCTCATTACAAGAGTTGTGACCCTTGGACTGCTGATTTCATTTCAGCTCCTGATCAGGTACAGATGTCCATTACTATAATTAGGAGCTGCTTTGGGCCCAGATACAGCATATATCAGGACAGTTTAAATTTTGTGTAATGCTTTACGTCCTTTCAGCACTCAGGCCGGTTGCCAAATCAGGGCTACAATAATACCTATTCTGGTGCTTCTGCAGTGCTAATCCAAATGGGCATTTTTACCAAAAGACATCCCCTTTGCTCAAAATCTGACACCACGTTCTTTGAGATAATGCCAGAATTTAGCAACATGCCCAGAAACAGCTACTTTTCTTCCATTACCCAGGAAAACCTTAATTAATTTCTTGTGTTGCTCTCATGCTCCTTCTACCCCAGCTCATGCCCTACTTTGTCATGGACATTTTTTCTTCGATGCCAGGAGTCCCGGGACTGTTTGTTGCCTGTGCATTCAGTGGAACACTGAGGTCTGTGAATTTGAAATGACATTTTAGCTGTGTAGGATGATTTCTAAGAAGAATGAGGTTAAAACATGAAACTCTAACAAAAAGCCCAGCTGTTTTTCTTAGAACATTCCAGGAAGCAGCACTAGTGCTTTACTGAATTACATTACATCCCTGGGGGCATTTGAAAAGGGAGGTATTTAAAAGACATGTAGACATTTGGGAAATGGTTTGTGGTAGACTTGGCAGTGCTGGGTTAATGGTTGGACTCCATGATCTTAGAGATCTTTTCCAACCTAAAAGATTCTGTGATTACATTTATGACACAGCCTAGCTCCACTTCACCAGTATCTTTATATCCCAAATAGATTTTAGAATAATGTTATCAATGCAGACAAAATAAAACTGAGCTGCTCATGGTGAAATTGTCTTTACCTAAGCTAACTGCCACAATATCACAGTCAGGATATAAATCTTCTCAGCAAGTCTATCTGTGACTGTATTCACCAAATATGGGTTCATTCCCCTAGCTTAAAGCCAGGTCATTCATGAAGGACCAGGGTAGCACTAGTGGTAACTGCACATATTTCAGTTCATAAGAGAGTAAAGTTTTAATTCTGGAACATCCATACTTTGAAGGTCTTTACAGATTTGTAAGTAGGATGAGTTTCTGTCTTGTTCCATGCCAGCATGAAGCAGAGCCCTCCACAATTGCAGAGGTAAAAGAAACCTCCCCAGCTACAGCAGCACACATGAAAAACACCACAAAACATACAGTTCTTGAGGAGCATTAGTGCTGAACAAGAGGAAGCATTTCTTTATATATACAATTGGATTTCAGATTACACTGCTTTCTCTTTACTTACCATCCTTCTCCCTTTCTACAGCACTGTAGCAGCCAGCATCAATGCTTTAGCAACTGTTACCTTTGAAGACTTGGTCAAGAAAGGTTTCCCAAACCTCTCTGAGAAGATGAGCACGTGGATCAGCAAAGGCTTATGTAGGTACCCTAGAGGGGTTCCATTTTTCAGCAGCAAAGGGCACTGTATAAAGACATTCCCTCAGAAACACTTGTGCTTTGGTAACCTCCACAGGAATGCAACCCTTTAGAAACTCCCAAGGTGAATGTCAGCCTGATTCTTCAACAACATGAAGTACCAGCACTGTATGGTACTGGAACAAACATAGACTAGCATCAACAGCTACTCAAAATCCTTGGAAAAGTTTGGTCTACTGAAAATTTTGGAAAACACTCTTTATGACACAGAAAGAATATCAATGTAGTTATTACCACATTAATCTATAGTAGTATTGCATATTCTTTTAGAGCAGTACAATAAGTAATTTCTATTCAAGCTTAGAGTTATTGTATAAGCAGGTTATTCAGCTGTTCAGAGAAAAAAATACGTACAAAAAATTTAAAAACCCCAGATCACCAACATAGCAAGCATCCAAAGTGACTTGAATTTTTAGGTTTCTTTTTAGAATTATTGCATTCATATCATAACCCTTTTATGAATACCATAATATCATAAGCATTTTATTAATGTTCATAAACATCGCGGAAGGGCCAAGCCAATATCTTTTGTATCTCTGTAACTGTTTCTAGCCTTCTCCATTTCTGTTTTTCCACTTACTACTTAGTTTTTTTCACTCTGTACCTAGAATTTTTACCAAGGTGTGCTAGACCATTTTAGTTGGCTTTACTTGAGAGTTCTGCCTACCACAAAGTTAAAATTGGTGCCAAAGGAAGAAAACCATCATTTCTCAACTCATTACTAGATTATTTTAAAAGTGATATTTAAAGGCAATAGAAATATTTCTACATGAGGCATAACTCCTAAATTAATTTCATTGCCATTGCTCTGTTCTGTAAGAAAAATCAATCAGCCAAAAACCCAACAAGACTTCACACAAGACACTGCTGGGTGCTTAATGGTCCACTCTAAACATCAAACCCAAAGTGCAAATTCCCCCAGTGCTGCCTGGTCACCTCAGACACTACTGAATTAGAAACTGTCCCCACTACTGTCCAGCACTGAGAACCTCATTACCTGATCTTTTCCAGGTGTTTTATACGGCGTCCTGTGCACTTCCATGGCTGCAGCAGCGTCGCTGATGGGAGGAGTCGTGCAGGTATTTCTTGCTTCAGAAATGCAGTGAACAGAACAGGAGAGAACAGAAGTGCAGTGAACTGAACAAATAATGCTGCCAGCTCTGAGGGCTGCTACATTACCTAAACCGTTTCAGTGGACCCTCTGATAAGAGGAATAACTAGGAAAAAAAAGAAAAAGATCATAAATCCCCTAACTCCTTCGTAATTTTGTCACTGCTAGGAAACGCTACTGAGTGTGATTCTCTTTAACTGTGCCTTGAAATCACTGCTTATCCCTTCTCCCTCACCATTTTCCCACTCAAAATTACAGACAGAAATCAGAACTGTGCATGCTCCGCTCAGCTGCTGCCCTCAACTCCCCTCTCTTCTCTGCACCCACAGGCTTCCCTCTCCATCCACGGGATGTGTGGGGGGCCCATGCTGGGATTATTTACACTGGGAATTGTGTTTCCTTGTGCTAACTGGAAGGTAAGGTTAAAAAAAATCCTGATCCAAAAGAAAATCTCTTGGTGTTGTTTGCCTAAAACTCCATCTTGAAAATTGTTTGGGTTTTTAATCTGGGCTGCTCTTCAGATTTAGAGCCTGAGGATCTAAGATCTGTTTAGTTGTGCCTTTTCCCTGTCTGAATTTATCTTTTTCAATTTAAGTCTACCCAGCTGTGGAATGATTGGTGATTAGATCCAAATGAGGGCTTTTTTTTAATTATTTTTGGTTTTAAGTTTCACTAAGAAGAAAAAAATATTCAGCACTCACCTCAGCCTTGGGACACAAAGAATTGTGTCAGTTGCTCTGCCTTTGCTATCTCACTCAAAACACAACATGAACTCATTCCATATTGCCCCATCAGCACTCCCATCACGGTTACCAGAAGTAAAACTAAAATCTGTATCACAGCTCTGATCACAGTTTTGCTTCAACTTTTATACCTAGAGGGCATTAAACCTCCACATTTTGTTCCTCGGTCAAGAGAACAGGATTTATTTACACTGACATAGATTAAAGCACCATCACCTACTCCTGCCTAACTCATGTTCACAGAAAAGCACTTTTGGCGAATCACCTTTAACAGCATCTTTCTACACTTGCCAAGGGTGCTCTTGGAGGCCTCTTAGCTGGGATCACCTTGGCTTTTTGGGCTGGTACTGGCTCTTTCATTTACCCTGCACCACCAACGAAGTCCATCCCTCTGCAACTGTCGACCCTCAACTGCACGCTGGCGAACGGCACCGCGTCGCTGACGACAGCAGCTCCCACGGCAGCTCCAGAGAGGTATTGCTACCACCCGAGCCTGCATTTTGGCACAGAGTACAGCCCCAGCAGGGAGCAGGCTGGGAGCGCAGAGGAACTGCAGTATGAGCTGCATTTTGCTGGCACAGCCAGGAGACAACTTAAATACACTTGTTGCCCGTCACGAGCTGCTTTTGTCACCTCTTCACAGGCCTTTGCTGGCAGACACCTGGTACTCCCTGTCCTACCTGTACTTCAGTGCCATTGGCTGCCTGGGATGTGCCATCATAGGGTTGTTGATAAGCTACATAACAGGTGGGTGTTCTATATAAACATATAAATATATATATTTATATAAAACAAATATGCTTTTGCACAAGAATCTGACTCAGCTGTTAAAAAAGCTTTTAAAAATCCAGCCTGTGAGACACAGACCCGGGAGGAGAGGGCAGCAGGCTCTGATCCTGCTCCCCCACCTCACAGTCTGAGGCTCCCAAGGCTCATACCTAACTACAGACTCACGTATCATTATTTATTTATTTATTTTCAGGACCTACTAAAGGAGAAGATATCCCGCCAGTGTTAATTAAGCCAGTCTGCAACCTGCTTTTCTTTTGGTCCGAAAGGCTCAAAACTCTCCTCTGGTGTGGCGTGCAGCACGACAGCCTGGAGGTGAGTACCTGAACCAACCAGCTCAGCCCTGCCGTGGCCCGGGAGCAGCAGGAACACGTGCATGTACCTACACGAGGGCATGTGCTAAGCAGAGAACCAAGCAGCTCTCAGCAATCGCTTTTGAACTTACAAAAAGGGTGCTGCTTAGGCACTGCAGACTGGAAATGAGATCAGCCAAAGCCTGGTCAGTAATAAGTTACTTATTTTTCCTGTTTGCATCACACATGGGGACCCAGGTTCTCCAGAGACAAACAGCCCATGAAATGGGGTCTGACCTCCCTCTCCCTGCCCTCCCTGCTCCAGCAGCCAAGCGGGGACAAAACCGCACTTTAAACCATGGAGAGGAGTTCACCAAGCTGTCACCTCCTCCGAGCACAGAGGGGGAGACTTAAGCACTTATATGACTTCTTGTTGCTGCCAGCTCCACCTTCAGAGCCTCTGGGGCTTCTCCTCTCCAGAGCAGCACCAAAGAGTAGCAACCAGGCAGGGCTGCAACCACCAGCACCTGGGCTGCTCCTTCCCATCTTCACCTCCTCCTCCTCCACAGCAACAGCACTGGCTGTTCTTCAGGTGTCTCGAGTCTTTGTAGCTCATTAAAAAGGCATACAGAACGAATATCTTGTCTTCTTGCACTGTTCTAACAATTTTCCTTCAATCAAAGGGAAAAAAAGCAGTGAATACAGGCTTCAAACTACAGGGGTATTTTCTTTCTTTTTTTTTCAGATTGACTTTGAGAAAAAACTGCCTAAAGTTACTGCAGATAAAGCCTTCAAGAATAGTATCAACAAAGAAACCCATTGCCAGTTCTCTGGTTACAATCCCGAGGAAAAATCCTACACAAATACGAGCAGAGAATCTCGCCTCTAGAGGGCGAGGGACAGGGGACATTTAACCCAACTTTAGTTCTCCAGCTTCAGAAATTATGAACTTTTTTTATTGCATTTACTGGCTTGTAGGTGACCAAGAGGGAACAATTGCTCTCTAGAGCAATAAAGGCCAGATTTTTATTTATTAATTTCTTGGCAGACCTGGGAAATGATCGGATAATGGGATTTTGGAAGTGCTGCAGTTTTGGAAGAAACGTTTAATAAATCTGGTTGTGGGAGCTCCCTCCTTGAAGCAGCTGCACTACATCTATATCACATGCTCTGTTCAGTAACCTTCCATTGAGGGCAAATGTGCAAAGGTGAATTTGAGATAAAATAAGACTTTGGAGAAGTTTCTGAAGTCTCTCACTAAGGTGAGACTGTGAATTGCCCTCTGAGGGAGGGAGAGGAGGGAGGTCAGGTTAATCCTATTCCCAGGTATCACAGAAAGCCTCCTCACACATCATTTACATCTCATGGCCACACACACGATTGACTAGGTTGTATTAAGAAAGCCTAACTATCATGCATAAGGGCATAAAATAATTCCTGAGTAGAAGTGTTTCCAAACACCAATATGAAGCTATATAGTCAGATGGAGGAGGATAAAACCCTCTCTACTGGTAGCTGGAGGATATCTGACGACCTATAACTGTGAAGATAACAAAGTCTCCTCTGAATATTTAAGGCACTTGCTCAGTGCAGTATTATTATGTTCTTCATGCATTTCACAAGTTTAGCAACATTGGTTTCACTACAGACTTAGTATATTTTCAAGTTGTTTGCCACAAAAGAGAATCTTAATTCTTCCATTTAATGTCAAAAACCGTGATTTATGTTGGCTAGAATTTCATTCTCTCCAAATGCTGTTGAAGAAATATCATGAAAAATTTTTCTTCATATTTACAAATTAGTTTTGTTTCGGCTAAAGCTGCTCATTAAGCCCAAGTGTTTTCTGTATTTGTAATGGAGCCAGGCACAGGGTTTAATAAGTCCAACATGGGCACTTACAAATGATGGCTAGAATTGTTAATCAGTAGTTCATTATTCAGTCTTTTAGCAAGATTTAAGAATAAGTCCTAGCAAGACTGGAATTCAGAGAAATTACCATTCTGATCAAGTATTCATGTCAGTATTTTTTACAGTTATCTTCTCATTTCCTTTATATCCTGAGCCACTGACCCTTCCAGGGAAGAGCTAGCCTGTCCACTTTGGTTGAAAAACTGAGAATTAGAACAGGTAAATTCTAAAGGAGCTTAAATTTAAGAACTTGTTAGTCACTGGTGAAAGCAGGAGATCATAGATGGCTAAAAATTTGAAAACTGATTCTATCTGTGCCTTGAGATCAAAGTAATTGAGTATTTAATTGCTATAAGTGCCCGAGCCAACCCTGAAATTACTTCCTTGCAATAGTATGGTTTGAAGGCTCATTAGCACTCACTTTTTAAGTATACGATTTTTTTTAAATTAACTTTGAATATTTGGAATAATAAAGATCAAAGCCGCTTTCAAAGATATCCAAGTTTATTACTGAAAAAAATGCAATATTCAAATGTGTATGATACAGTAAGTAGTTGCATTTGTACATGTAAACCTTGATAAAGTAAACAGCATCTCAAAGACAAACTTATGCCAAAAGTGTCTTACAGTAGTTAATCAGATCTACAACTTTTTCCTCAGTGAATTCTTTTAGTTCTGGGGTACATACTGGCTTGTAAAAGTAATATTAAAAAGAAACCGAAAAGCTGACACGCCAGAGGAACTTCGAGGTTTTGCACAGAAAAGTGAATTTGTCTGAAACGCTCTATGGTACTGTAAACTTATTTTAAATATTCCTTACAAAGTGTGGATTTACGAATAGAAAAAATAGCTGAAATTTTATTTTTACTCCTTACTTAGAAATGAAGTTGTATTTAAATATTACATAAATTTCAAATATATACACATTTTAAGAAATCTTGTACGATCATGATATTGCAAGTTAGCCAGGACTATCAGAGTAAAAAATGACTGAACTATCTTATTCAGTTAGATTTTACACGAGATTATTTCCAAGAACTGAAATTTCACTGATACTACTCTAGGTAAAAATTAGAGCCAACAGTTTGGAAGATTTTTCAATACAAAACTCTGAGTCATTTAAATAGAACACAAAATAAAAATGTGATCTGAATTTTTTTCCATTATTAACAGAAAAATTGTCATGTTCTCAGCAGTTAGAATCTCATTAGCTTTATATTGAGTTTAATCCTGATTTCTCACCCAGTAGCATTCTACTAAGTAGCTCAAGTCAATTAGAATGCAAACTACAAAGAACATCTAACATTACAGAGGTTATATCAAGAAGTTAGAATGAGCCAACAGAACTAACACAAGGTAACTTCCAGTGCAGTGAGGAGGGAATACACCATTAGCATTTCAAGACTAAACCGAAGTCCTGGATTAAAAAAGTTCCCGTATAACATGGAATAGCAAAGTGGATTTCTCCACAGTTTCTTGTTGTGCCATTAGAACTTTGTGCTGTTGTGGTGACATTGTGCTATCATGGTTATGCCAAAATCACGTCAATCCAAATTTCTGACAAATGTGATTGCAGTGGCAATGTCAGACAAAAATTGTCAGTACTAGGCTGTTATATAAATTTAAAAAATTATAAGATTGTGGAGAGTATTTAGGATTGCGCGTGCGTGTGTGTAGGAAGGGACACAGGGAGAACAAAGTGTGGTGCTTGGGGAAGTGACTGAAAGGACAGATCCAGAAACAGTTACACCTGCAGGCACCTCGTGCTGCCCAGCACTGCTTCGTCCAACGCGTACTGATTTGTGAGAAGCACCAGACAAACTAGTACTTGTGCACTTCCCGCTTCGGCTTCTCAGTAAAGAACATCCAAAACCAGCCCGTAAATAAATCTGCAGTCACAGAATTGCCCTGGAAATTGGACTGTCAGACAGAAGGCAGCGTGGAATAAAACACCGAGGGTAAGTAAAGAAATGAGCCAGAGGAGAAAAGGAGAAAGATCAGGAGGGCTGACCCAACACTCCACGCTCAAATCCTTGTTTTTCAGAGCCTGTTGCAACTCTGGAGCAAAACCTGCTGAAGTGAAGATGATCCCTTTGCTTCCTCTGCCTGTCCTCAGCCTGCCTCCACATGCTGGTTGTCGTATTTTACCCCAGAAGAACATGGGCATTGCAAGCATGAGGTTGAGTATGAACACACTTAAGGAACTTTTTAAGCGGTTAAATTTTCCACTGCAGGAACTTAAGTTTGCAATTCACTTAAACACTTTCAAAAAGTGTCACTGTATGCATTTTAGGTAGACAAAATATGCTTTGCAACAAAATAAAAGGTCTGCCTAGATGTGGAGTTCTGTTTGAATTCCAGTGTTAGCCTTAACACCAAATAAACACTATTATGAAAGGCTGGCCTTATATTTGTTTCAACCTTTGCCCCAAAATAAGCAACATCAGCACTTTATGAGGACTACAAAAAAATAAAATGATTCTGGAAGTACTACTGTGTTGTAAGTGATTGCTGATACCACTATTTTTATCTCTGTCCCTTTTCTTAATAGAAACTTAATAAAAAATGTGATTTTTATTTTATTTTCCATTATCTTTATTGCATTCATAGGTAGCTGTTTCTATAAAGTGAGTTTTATTGGTATGGCAATTGCCCATTCAATTTATGGACATGGATGGTTTTCAATTAACCAAAATGAGATGATGCTTCGAAATATGCATGTGCTAATTTGTCTCTTAATGAACTGTGGCATAATGCAAAAGATTACAAAGTCCCACAGTGCCACAGGGCTTTGCAGGTAACTCCACTGGATCCCATGGCTCCAGAAATTCTCTCTGGCAACACTCCCAATTGGAGTCTGCAGTGGAAGAAGATGCAGCAAGGAAACAGCAGACGTGCACTGTGTACATTATTAGACTGATCATCTTAATGGTACATTAGAATAAAGTATCACAAAAATTCTTGCCCTTCCCCACATTAACATCACCCTAAAACTGTGTTTCCCAAGATATTTTTCCTTCTTCAGAGCTTTCTATGAAGGAAACTTCTGGAAATTTATACATTTTTGCATTAAGGTATTTACCTATTAACCTATTTTCACTAGTGTCTCTAGGTATTTTCCTTTTGAGCTTTCCATAGGACACAACTGAGCCAAACTGTTTCTCAGAACCCATTTTATGACAAGTCATTGTTGGAAAAGGACATAGCTACAGCTGATGTGTATTTTGTAGCAAGAAACACATGGACTTTCTAAGAAACATCTAACAAAAACCCCCTTAACCTCCATCACCACTACTGAAACTTTAGCCTTGTCATCATCAATATTAACTTCAATGTTCATCTAAATTTTCTCTATAAATCCTTTAGCAAAAAGGGGTAGGAAAGAAAGATAACAGAAATAGCCATTGAATCATAGAATCATCAGGGTTGGAAAAGACCTCCAAGATCATCAAGTTCTAATTTTTGACCGACCATCACCACCACAACTAAACCACAGCACGAAGTGCCATGTCTCGTTGTTTCTTCAACAATTCCAGGGATGGGGACTTAACCACCTCCCTTGGGCAGCCCATTCCAATGCTTTCAGTGAAAAAATTCTTCCTGATGTCCAACCTGAACCTCCTCTGGTGCAGCCTGAGGCTATGTCATCTCTTCTGTCACCAGTTAACTGGGAGAAGAGGCCAAACCTCGTTTTCCTACAACCTCCTTTCGGGGAGTTGTAGAGAGTGATAAGGTCTATCCTGAGCCTTCTCTTCTCCACACTAAACAGCCCCAGCTCCCTCAGCTGCTCCTCATATGACTTAATCTCTAAACCCTTCACCAGCCTAGTTGCCCTTCTCTGGACCTGCTCCAGCACCTCAATGTCCTTCCTGAGCTGAGGGGCCCAGAGCTGGACACAGCACTCCAGGGGTGGCCCCACCAGCGCTGAGTCCAGGGGGACAATCACTTCCCTGCTCCTGCTGGCCACACTATCCCTGATAAAGGCCAGGATTCCCCTGGCCTTCCTGGCCACACTGCTGGCTCATGTTCAGCTGCTGTTGACCAGCCCCCCCAGGTCCTTTTCCAGCCACTCTGTCCCCAGCCTGTAGCACTGCAGGGGGGTGTTGTGACCCAAGTGCTGGACTCGGCACTTTGCTGTGTTGAACCTCATACAGTTGGCCTTGGCCCATCGATCCAGTCTGCCCAGATCCCTCTGCAGAGCCTTCCTACCCTCCACCACATCAACAGCCCCACCCAACTCAGTGTTGTCTGCAGACTTACTGCAAGTGCACTTGATTCCTCTGTCCACTGATAAAGGTATTAAACGGGACTGGCCCCAACACTGAGCCCTGGGGAGCCCCACCAGTGACCAGCCACCAACTGGATGCAACACCACTCCCTGGGCACGGCCATCCAGCCACTTTTTAACCCAGCAAAGACTGCACCTGATCAAGCCATGGGCTGCCAGCTTCTCCAGGAGAGTGCTGAAGTAGACAGTTTCAAAGGCTTTGCTGAAGGCTTTGATGAGTTTTACCTTGTTTCCAAACACTAGTACTCCATCAGGATGCTCAGTCACTGTGCTGTGTGAGCCTGGGCTCAACATTCAGGCAACCCTGTTAGCACTCAGTTGTGAATGCTGAGCTCTTACTGCCTCCCTCTACACGGAGACAGACTTTGAGCTATTATTAGGATGGCTAATGAAACAGAATTCTTATTTTCCCTTTTCTTTATTCACCAAAATTCAGATCTCACATATTAAGCGCAAATTTAGAATAAAAAGTCATAAGAAATGAGATGTGTATCACGTATCTGGACTTTTTGCCATTTCTGAAATGGAAATTTCTTTTGTCTGAACGAAGACGCAGAATTTGGTTAGGAATAATTAAGACATTTTGACTAATCCTTTATACATAAAAATATCTAGTTGCTCATGCAGTCTCTCCAAGGGTGCATGCATAGAGCAAAGTTGTCACAGATTAGATCTGCAACGATCTAAAGCATCTTTGCACAAATTGAGGTTCTAAAGCTTTGTCAGATTTCACAAATGCAGCCTACATGCAGTCTACTCATACCAGTCATTTGTTTGAAAAGACAATATTTAGGATATGAAAAGATCATTCACCATTCAAAAAATACATTATTCCTGAGGACAGTGTGTGCCTTATACTTTAGGAAAATAACGTGCAGTCAATGAAAACAGTATACTAAATGAAGTCTAGCAAAAAGGTTTCTCAGCTTAAGCAAATGGCTAGATAGTGGCAAGACTTTTACACATTGCTGACATCCTCCAAAAGTAAAGGACACACAGAGTGTTTCTCCAAGCTTCTTGTGCTTTTCCAGTGCATAAAATGCACCATGTCAGATCTACATACTTGCCTTTAGTAGACTCCTATATACCAGTGTTGAAAATAATTAATAGCATATATATATTTAAATCTCAAATACAAAAAGATTTTCTTTTTTACGTGTTTTTTTAAGTCCAATTGGAATTTGCCTAAGTATGTATTGACAGGTGCCAGAAACAGGAAAGTACAAAATAATCAATATTTCTGATTTTTGCCTGATTTTACCCTATATCTTTATCCCTTGGGCCAGCCAAGGCATTTTGTTTTTAGAGAAAACATTAAAAAGAGCTCATCTGTGACCCTATGAAGAACTGAATTACCATCACTACGTGGCACAGAAACAAAAACTCTGACGCAGGGTTAATGCTGTCAAACTGTGCTTGATAATCCACAGAATGAAACAGAGAGACAATCCATCAAATCAAATGCTGTGACTCTGGAAGCACCGAGGAGAGTGCACTCATTTTTTTCTGATAATGACTCCTGAGGAATTTAACACATAACCCAGAATATGAATAAACAAAACAGCCTTTCCAAAACATGGGAAACTGAGCCCTTTATCACAGAATGAGTGAGTAATATATCTGATTGGAACAGATCTTCAAATTTCTTTACTCCTGTTATGCAATACTGTAGGTACTCCTATAGTTGCCTTGTCTGGTCACAGAGAGCAGGAATTAACCAAGAAATCTCATTAATATGGTGAAACAATTAAAGAACTTGAAAGTCTGATGCTAGGTCCTCTGGATACAATAGATTCTATTTACCCACTCTGATGGGTCTTGATTCTTGAAATTAATTTTATTAGAATAAAATAAAATTATTGTGCTAATAGATGCAAGTGAATATTGGAATCACACTTTTTAGTTCAACAGGGTATTGCAAATAGTAAAAATTCAGGTCTTTTCATATCTGTCAGCAGTGATTTTGCTGCAACTTTATCCCTAAAAATAATGTTAAAATTTGCAGCCTTTATAGTTACTGTGCTTTGTGACCCTTTGTTTTTTTTAAAATTTTCTCATCCAATACAGAGAAACGTTATTTAAAATTGTACAAGAGAAATATAAGATTGTAACTCTGGGTCTCCACACCCTTCTCTGCAAGGCATCCCTGCAAACTTGTTTAAACTGTTTAAGTGCTTTTCCCCTATTATGAAATGCTAGTAATAGACAATTTCATCACCAAAATTTGACTATAACCACAAACAACACTGCAGTATGCTGTTTGCACATAAAAACTGAAATTTGATTCTTACATGAACATCTACTTTTTATAGTGATTTTATGCAAAAAGCCCCCCCCAAACTGTAAGAAGGCATAGTAATAATAATAATAATAGTAATAATAATAATAATAAAAGTAACCACTGTATGTGTATGCATTTATGTACAATCTGTATATATATTTGCCTGTATCTATCTCCCATGTTTTGATATATTTAGGCCAATAAAAGAAGTGTATGTTACTGGAACATTTACTATTACAGTAAGAAGAGCATTGTTATAAACTGTTTCTCCTTCCCTGAACAAGCAAGTCACGATGTTATACTGTACATCTGATATATATCTGCAGAAGCTTGCATACTATAAAAAAGTTAATTGTATTTTGAAGACTAAGTAATTTGCACAGCATGGGAATATTTCAAGTCAGCATTTTATGAAGTCATGGAATCATTGCCCAGACAGGCCAAAAGGAACAGTAACACAGACACCTGCATGCTACATCAGAGCAGGAAAATGACAGTTCTTTCATCCTGGAAGCGTGTGGAGGTGGCCTTTCCACACACACACAGGTGGAAAGACAACTCAACAGCTGTGTCATTTTCAAACAGAGCTGCAACGTGGGCAATGTGATGCATTCTGCTAGTGCTGCTGTTTTCTTTCTGAATTTGGAATTTTTGGTTTGCAAGTAGAAGGATAAATTAATGACACTGATGTGCAAATCTTAAACTGCATAGTATATATATTAAGCAGCCACAGACCCCTTTTTTTAGGGTAGGACCACATCCACAATCTCAGCCAGAGACTAGGACAAACCTGACAAAACAGTAAGCCTGAAAGATCAAGTTATGGCCACAAAGGCAACAATTGCTCTTTTCTTTAGAGGCATTACAGATGGAACCGAGCAATCAGAAGCTGTAGAAGTAGTGGATATCATATAAGTTGGTTTTAGTCATGCCCTTACTCTTTCAGTTCACAGGTAATTTTTTTGTTTTCATTGCGCTGGTAACTCACAATTTCATTATGCTGAAGGTTCATGCTGCACCTTCACGAACAGCATGAACATTCCTGGCCTTTTTTCAAACCAGTGTCCGAGCTTTTAGGCTGACTGCACGTTCCTGAGTGCCAGTTCTCCTCGGAGCTCACCACAGACCAGACACAGGTAAGGGCTTTTCATCGCCATCCTTGGAAACATTTGTTTGCCAGTGCCCACCAAAGTCTGCAACTGCACTGCCCAGCAAGAACATATATACACCACGAGAGGATCTCACACGCCGAGGCCCGACTCCGACTTCGTTTTGTAACCGCGCTCTTCCATTTCAAACAGTGTTTTTGCTGCAGCACAGTAGTGACTAAGGCCATTCATGGTGATACTGTTTCCCGTTCTTTTTCCTTTCCCTTTGCAAATGTTCCAGTTCAGCCTCATACATCATTTCCTGGACTAAGTATTTCTCTCTCCTCATTCTGTCGCACAAGTCTTTGGGCATGTCTGGAATCAGGTAGGCAATGAAGGACTTTATTCCAAAAACAAGGTGCTGAAAAGAAGAACAAAAATAATTGCTTAAAAATGGATAATTATTCATTTGTAGGTCCACATTTCAATGCCTAAAGAGTTTGTAGTAAAACTGGACCTGAGGTTCAATTCATGACTGAATGGCAACTGCTTTGTTTTTTTTAATAAAAACACACACTGATATGGGAATAAATGAGTGGTCTAACGCAAATGGGGAAACGCTGAAGTCTTCTGAAAAGTAAAATTAAGGGTACAGTTAGTGACTTAAATGAAGGTGTGACTGTAGGATATGCTAGTCTGATTAACAGATGCAAGCAATAACTACAAGCAGTCTTTGTTAAGAGCTTATAATGGAAATAGGAACCAGATTCCTGAATAGCATGCAATACATTCTTCAAACATATTTCTACTTTTACATTAGGTTAGAATCATGTATCATTTTCCTAACACATATTTTATCTTGTAATAACTGAGCCTAATGTACTCAAAACTTGCATTTCTTCTTTTTCAATAAAATGTAAAAGATTTGGTTGGGAACCAACATGACATATAAGACGACTGTTAAGGAAATATGATTTTAGAGGGACTCTAAAATAAGTGCATGCTCTGTCAATTCTGTTTGAAGCAGCTGATAGACAACACTTTGGAGAAGACAATTTCTTTTTCCTCTCTCTTGACCATAATGAACAAGCAAGCGATGAAAATGGCAATTTACTTACAGAACTACTGTAAAGAATCAAGTCAGACTTTAGAGAGGAAGAAAGGAACTGTTCCTTTCCACAACTAACCTCAAATACTATGATGAAGGCCAGTCGTGCTGCCAGGACATGCCAAAACTGCAAAGTGAATTCATATGGAGTTGAACTCCACGGTGGGGCTCTGTAGTCTCTATACCTGCAAAGCAAAGAGAAACCAAATACGTTAGCCTGTGCTGAAAAACCTGAACATGGTCAAGTGATCTCTAGTTCATCCCAGATCTGTCTAAAAGGAGAGAAACTGAAGTGAAAGCAGACTTCAAGAGGAATGAAACAGAAAAGGAGAACAGTCCACAACACAGGGTATTAAATACTGTTGTTTATGAGATGGTACTTTTTGCTTCCAAGAATCCAGAGCAAACAATTTTTTTTTTTGTTACCAAGCTGAAGTGTTAAGTTCAAACGTGTGGACTCTCAACTTGTTCTTGTCTTTGCTTATAAGCACTTAAGGTTCTCCAGACAAAGCTGGCATAAATGTAACACGATTCTAATTTAAACTAATGCTCACTGCAAAACTAAATCTGAAACCAGGATGCAACATCATATTTTATTTTTATGCTGAATTTCCTGTATTCATTTTGCATAACTGTTTGCAATCCCAACCTAGGTCAGAGCCACAAAAACTTTAAATGTGTATTTTAATGAATAGACTTCAGAATGCTTAACAAAACTGAAATGAGAACTTTTATCCTTCTTGGCAGGTGGTGAAACTTTGAAATTAAATAATTCGTAGAGGCACAAAAGATAATGGTTTGCAAGAGTCCTGGAAAAACTCAGAACATAGGTTTTCAATGTGTTAGTACCGTGTCCTACCACACACTGTTTGCACCTGAAACTTCATGTTGAACAAACATGAACTCCAACGCTTTTTACAGGGAAAAAAGGAAACTATTATACCAGCAATTTAAGCACTAACTTTAAATCTACTGTCTGATTTAATGTCCATTCCAGCATTACAAGAAGGGAGACATACCGACAGTATCCTGAGTATCCCATCCCAAGTTCACTCAAATCAAATACTGATAAACTGCTGTTGACATATCCTTTTAAGCATCTGAAAGGAAAAGCCAAAGGGTCAGGACCTTCTTCATAAAGCAGTTATACAGCATAGATCCTGTACATAAGCATATTCTGCTATCACACACTGTGAGCGTACTATTTTATTTGAGAAATATATATGTTAAGTACGTTATCACAGAAATACAGCAGCAAAAGTGTGCTTCCACTGAAATATATATGTATATATAAAGAATATCTTAATTACTTTTCTTGTCTGTACCCTTGATCTGTACAGGGACCATATTTGTATGCATAGACAAAACGTGGAATGTAATCAGAAGTAATGGCAATAACAAAGGCATTGGTGATGACAGCCAGAACTCCAATTCCTTCCAGAATTCCATACCAGATACCTAGAAACGAGAGAAATGAAAGCAACCTTGTCAGGTTTTTATGACCATATTAAGTCATATAAAGTCATACCGTGATAATAAAGTCATTATTAGACATACAGTTTTCCTTTCTTATTGGGAGAGAATTATGAGTCAGAAAAACTAGCCAAGATTCAGTTTTAAACCAAAAGTGAATTTAGTCCTTATATTTAATTTCTAAATTCATTTGATTTTAAACCTAGAGTTCCACAAATCAGAAGCCTGAAATACTGTTTAGCCTGTTTTCAATATTCAAACTATTACGGCTGGCGACGAAAAACAAATTTGGTGAGTCCTCTTTCTGTTGCTTAACAGCAGAGTGGCCACTGAGATCTGCAGGTTACAGTATCGTCTTGACACGTGAAATATTTCAGGAGTTGAGCTGTTTTAAAGAGGAAAACACAAAGAGATGGTACTGACAGCGACAGCCACCAGGTTCTCTCACCTATGTCTGTCGCTCTCGCAGGCATGGGTCTGCGCCACTGCGTGACAAACTTGTACGCGTCCAACCTGATTTCTATGATGTTGTTCAGCAGTGCCAGGAGAGGTGCCAACGGGAAGGCAGCAACAAAGATGGTGGTAAAGCCAAACTGTAAAACTAGACAGGCATTTCTACGGTTAGAAATCGGAAACGCGAAAGACCTTCCCGCGTGCAACACAGGTCCTCTTTCTGAAGAAAACCGACACCTCCCCTAAATTTGCTCACCCATCTCTAAATATTCGTCCATTAAGCCATGGAGATTCATAGGCTGCAGATTCCAATCTTTTTCCCACTGAGGTAGAGAAATTTTATTCTCCATTGATTGCCCTCTTCTCTTCATTTTGCGTCGTGACCACCAATTCTGTAATAAACTTTATTAGATAAAGAGAGTATTATTGGCTGTATCTGCTCAGTAATTTAAAATATTTTCTGGTATTGTCTTGAAGTAAGTAGGCCTATTTTGAATAGCACCTGAATGCTTACTTACATATTTTTTGGAAATATTTACAATATCATCTAAGATATAATTCAAAGAACTTATAAAAGTTCTCAAAATTCTGCATTATGATTTTAATTATATCTTTAATGCAGCATGTTCAGCATTGTACAAATAAGCTTTTCAGAACATGGAACATGCTTGCATAGACTCTTTTTTTGTACCATTTACCTGAATGACTAAATTAAAAAAAAAAAAAAGAAAAAGAAAAAAAAATGCATAGCAAGAGCATTAAAAAAATAAATAATTTTATTTTCAGTTCTGTAAAAGACAAACCAAGTGAAGTTTAGTAAGAACTTACTAGAATACAGTGAATAGTAGAATATATCTATTTTTGAACAAACCTAAAGATCTACATGCCCGACAGAATATCTTTTTTCTTGAAGTAGGAAAAAGGGTTTTAAAAATGTGTTGCTGAACGATGAAGCTACAAATATTTAAGACAATTTTTCATAAAGCTGGGCAGATATCTCTTCACAAAGTAGTTATAAATATTAAGTAGATAACAGCTCACAAATTAAAGTATTATACAAATGAAAAATATTATCCAGTACTGACACAGGGGGCAATTCAAGATTACTGTTTGTTTCTAGATATTAAGGAAAAGAGACTGAAGATGGAAAACTTTCTTATAAGTATTTTTATAAACTGCTACTATTTTTTCTCCAGCTAATTTAGTGTTTGGCTCTTGATCTCTCTTGTTACTGAAAGAGCAACTGTTGCCAAAGTTGCAAACAACGGTTCTGTCAAAACAAAACGCTTCCTTCCATTACAGAATGCAAGCATGTTTTAAAACAATAATAACTCTAAAATAAATTCTAGACACAGCTAAGATCCTGCTAGGCTGAGAAGACAGGAAGACTAGTAGTTCAAGTAGGTTTCTCCTTTCCAAAAATCCCTGTTTCACAACATACAGTACACTGCCCCTCATTTGCAGAACGATTGCATGTTGTGGGCATAACCCTTTCTGACATATTGTCAGGGTTGAGACTTCAATTAAATTAAATTTATATTTGATGATCAATCTTTTCCTGAAAACATATTCTTCCAGTTTCAAGAGAACTGTAAGACTCTTACCCCCACTACTCTCTTCAGAAGTTGAACAGCTCTGTTTGTGTTATGGAAAATGAAATTACAATAAACAACTTAGACAGTTAACATACCCCAAGAAGCTTTGTCTTAGAGCAGCAGTTAATGCTTTCCTTGGGAATAAAATTACAGTATGTGAGACGCAAAAAGTGAAAACAGTCTCCAAATCTAAAAATACTTCTTCCTATCACTGACTCACCCTAAAATGTATTCACTGTTTGTAAACAATTAACTTTAACATCTGAACTTACGGATAGCCTAGTTCCATGAAGTTGTTCCACATTTGTTTTAAAACCATAATAACTCCCATTTGCAAGCACAGATCTATCAAGCAGCCACTAGGATGACACTGAAATGAAGTGGAAAAAGATAAATAGCTAAAATAAGAGAATTCTTTTATTTTTATTTGTTCAGAGGGTAAATGAAAAATATTAAATATGTTTGGTGAAAAACACTAATTTGTATCTACAGAAATATTAAAAAAAATATTTATAAGAGAAATATTAGCACAGACTTCAGCTGAGCAACCTTATTATTTCTTGGAGAACTAGACCATATTACCTAAGTTAAAGGTATGTGTACTAGATATATGACAAATGATATAGACCATTTCACTTAGATCAATACATACTTATTCATTTCAAAAGAATGGAAAATTGGCAATATTCTAAGTCCAAAGAGAGACCAAATTTCTGGTACTGGTATCTTAACTAAATGGATTGCCATATTAAAATGTTTAGTAATTACAGAACCATTTTTTCAGACCATGGACTACAAAGTTATGATGTTTTACTCTGTGGATAGCAAGGTTCAATAGAAGAAAACTGTTTTTCAGATATAAGAGATAACTTCAGCATGCTGGTGAGCTGCAATCCTAACATATTCTCAGGTTAAATTTTCAAAACAGTATCTTCCTTCTTTTAAATCACAGAATTATAGATTAGTTCGGGTTGGAAAGGACATCCTAAGATCATCTAGTCCAAACTTCTGCAATAAGCATGGCCACTTCCAACTAGATGAGGTTGCTCAAAGCCCCATCCAACCTGACCTTAAGTGTTTCCAGGGATAGGATATCCACTGCCTCTCTAGGTAACCTGTTCCAGTGCTTCACCATCCTGACATTTCAAAAAAATAATCTCTTCCTTACACCTAGTCTGAATCTAGCCTCTCTTAGTTTAAAACCATTACCCCTTGTCCTGTCTCAACAGGCCCTACTAAAAGTTTGTCCCCACCTTTCTTATAAGCCCCTTTAGTAAGTACTGAAAGGCAGCAATAATGTCTCCTTGGAGCCTTCTCTTCTCCAGGCTGAACAACCCCAGCTCTCTCAGCCTGTCTTCACAGCAGAGGTGCTCCAGCTCTCTGACTCCTTTTGTGTCCCTTGTCTGGACCCATTCCAACATATCTGTGCCTTTTCTGTGTTGATAGAAATCTAAGAAGCCGATAAAAAAAGCTGATGGTTTTATATTTATGTCCTCCATTCAAAAATTCCACATACTCAGGAGATTCCAAACTTGTAGGACTTAGTAGTGCTTGTGAGGTAAGGGACTATCCCTGCTTAATTTTCCCAGACAGAGGCAGAAAGAATTGTGTCTCTTGGGCAGAGTCACTCAGCACAGTGGAGAACACAGAAGGAAAAACACATCTCCTGTTTCTTATCCTTTGCTATAAATAAGAGTTTACCATTTGCTGCACATAGATGGAATAATAAATCTTTCAAACTGGGCATTCACGTCCTTCATCCATTTCCTTTTTACTCATGGAAATATCACAGGAACACAAAGCAGGATTGCTCACCTCTTCCAGTCTCCATCTGTTAAAAAGCTTATTGTACTTTCCCGGGCGGCCTGCAAATCTGGAAAATAAGATTTCTGTTTCTCAGTGGACATTCCAAGAACACCCTCTATCAGCAGCTATTTCACAACATCCACTGGACAAACTCAGGAAATATCAAAAGATTAAATCACACAGGCTTAAATCTGGTATCTGTAGGATATGGAAGTCTCAGAATGCAAACAAGGACCATCATTTTGCAAATGACCCTAAGCTTTTATTATGTCCTGAACAAAAATACTAGCTTCAGAGGTTTTAGATGTTAGCTATTCAGATCTAATCTACTTCTAAAATGATAAGCCATTGCAATACATAGGAATTTACTGCAGCACAGGGATCTGCTTGTCCCCGTGAAGTGTACATTTGATTTGTATAACGAACTGAATCAAAATTCTTGATGACCTCAGTGAAAGTTATAAATGATACAGAAAGAAACCCATGCCTGGTCCTACTAGACACAAGAGAGAGCTAGACACAAAGAAGTTTAGATACTGTATGGCAAATACACCAGTGGATGTAACAAACAGGTATCACTAACAGATTTTACAAAAAGGTTTTTTGCTTTTCTGCTTGTTTGGTTTTGTTGTTGTTTTCTTCCAACCAATCTTGAACTGAAATTCTACTGTAACACTTTATAGAAGGTACTCTGAAATATTCTGTAGGTTCTGGAGGAATGGTAAGTGTGGGCATAACAAAACTGAACTGAAGAGGAAGGAAGGTTAGACCTGTACTGTATCTCATGCTTTGAGCTACAGATACACACAAAAACTGGAGCCAGAATTTCTGCTTCCTACTCTTGCACAAGACTTGCCAGACAATATTTACTGCATTTGTAGAAATGCATCCTGGGAAATGTAAGTCATAGGGAATTAAAAGAAAATAATTAATAAAGCCTATTAGCACAGGACTAAGTACAGACCCACATTTAGGCAGTGGTTGTATTTTCAAAAGCTCTGAATTCTCATTTTGTAGGAAAGTCACATATGCAGACCCACTTAAAAAGTAAAATTTTTACTCTCTAGTTTCATGGATAAACATTTCAAGGGCCCAACCCGCACATACAGTTAAAAACATTAATTTAGTGTTACTAATTATCCCCAGAAACCAATTAGCACCTAAATCTTACAGTTCAAACTGTCACTGTATTTTCTTCAAATCCATAAAATTAATAAGGATTTTGAGTTCTGTGCAAGTTTTCCTGTATGTGCAGTGAGCAAAGGTAACTTACCTGCCAAGAAAAAAGGCAATGTAGAAGATAGAGCTGTTCAAGTTGACGAACTGGAAGAGGAACATTTTCAAGGCAAAGCTGTTTTCCCATTCGGATTCTGTTCTAGGGTGCTCTTCAGAAAGACACAATATACATTATATAAACAAAAATGAAACTGAGTTATGTGTAACTCTGCTCACACCGAAATCAACACTAACAAAACAAGCAATGGTTTCAAGCCATGTTGCCCCATTATTTTTTCTCCCTTAAAGTGTTCAGTCTACAGATCACAAAACCATTGCCCCAGCTCAGACTATGCCATTTCTATGTGGAAACAGGAGATGCAGTACAAGATAGAATCAGCACAGAATAGATCACAATTCTGTGGGAAGACACCCGTTCCATTTCCACAAAAAAAATCTGAATTCAGTGTGAATCTTTAAAGGTATCTTGATTCAAAGAGAAAAACCCAACACAAGAGAAACCAAAACCAAACCAAAACCAAAAATACCCCCCAAACAAAACAAAAAACCCAACACAAACCAGCAACAACAAAAGATCAAAAATCAAAGGAAAGGACGGAGGTTCTTTTTTGGCTTCTTTTGGAAAGAAACGTAGAAATGCTTGTAGGACTATAAGTGTTGTGTGTGGGTCTGCACTGCCTTGGATATTTTTCCTTAAGGTTTGCAGAGCATTATTTATGTCTGAATTAGAGATCCTGGTGATAGGGATTCAAAATTAATTTTTACAAAATCCATCTTTGATGGATGTATCAAACTTGGAATACACTACACCAAAAACTACATTAAAACGCATACTGAGTCTTAAGTCTACACTGCCTGGATTTGTCAGTTGTAATTTGTGCTACTTAATTACTCTGGTCTAATGATGACTAAATTTGGACACAAACATACAGGATATGGACACTTGTTCCCAGAAGTTAAAGTGTCCTTCTCTAATGTAAAACACCTTAGAAAGAGTAATGAATTACCTAGCTTGAACACCTAATGCTCCATCACATTTAATTCAAGAAACTCCTTTTTTTTTTTTTTTTAATTCTTCCATATATTTTGGGAAAAAACAGCTTGTGCACTTAAACAATTATTTTCTTTCCTATTCCCTGGTCTGTAACAACATAATATATTCTAAAAGGAATAGAAATAAGTTTGATCTGAGAAAGTACTTTAAAATATTTTACTACTCTGAGTAAGTTGACTATACATTCTGAATCTTTCTAACCTGTTCAACTGCCTGTTACCTGAAGCACTACAAAGTTTCGAGCCCCTTGTTTAATACTTTAACCAGAAGAGGGAGCTGTTGAATTTTAGCAGCCAGCTTGTGTTTAACCAAGACAAGATGACTTGCATATTTTGACATGGGCTAAAAGTGAGTATGTAAAAAAACTAAACGGTAACACATTGAAACAGTCGGAGAGCATAAATTCTGTCTTTGCTTTCTTGTTTCCTATAAGCTAGAAAGCTTTTTCTCTGCGACTGAATCATGACTAGAGGCTTCAGTATAAAACCTTAATGTGACAGAATTAGAGCCACTTTAAAATTCTTGACTTAACATTTTTATCTTGGACAACATAATTTTATCTTAACCCATTTTTTTTCCATATGGAAGTTCAAATTAAAAATTAGCAAAAAATAAACAAGGATTTGGAGAAAATGGAAAAAACCTTTCAGCATTCCAAGAAAGAATGTTTTGAGTTTTGCTCCAAAGTAAGACGACACTTTTTCAGTGTATATGTATATGAATACATAATATGAAACATTAAAAGAAGCAGAAGAATAAATTCCTTACTTTTCTATTATTATTTCCCCAGTGAAATAATAATTTCTTTTCTTTCTTTGATATTTCTCACTTGCTTAGGGAAATGCCAGAAACGTGCCATGCAGAGATGAAGTTTTCAAAACTCTACCTCATGGGACTATAAAGGTATATGCCACAGCCAGCAAGAATCATACCATTAGTGAAAACCTACATACCTAAGTCTGTCAGGAGATAGGCAACCTTCTCATACACCTAAAACAGAAATAAGAGATGCAGTTTTCCTTTGCATGAATGTGCATACCGGCTGAGGATATCAGCTTTCTAGTGAAAACTTCCTTATTTCTCAATATATTGACTATCCCCAGTCTTTATTTTAAATGACACAGCCCAAGGCAGTTACCAACTCTGAAAAATATTTCCTTGAGTATTTACTATAAATAGCAAGTTGTTTTTGGTAGCTTTGCTTGGTCACTTGAATGTACTTTTTATGACTCAGAGTGATCATATATAATAACAGAAACAAATACACAACTCTGACTGAATCATTTCTTACTGAAATGACTGCACAACCTCCTTAAGAGATTTAGAAGCCATTGTTTGCTGTGTTGTTATTCCTTTTTACCTGATTGTGCTTGCATGGGAACAGAAAGATGATAAATAATATTGCAGCTGGAAGAATAGAGTTTCTATCCATGTACATAGTGCTACAATGGCAAATGATTAAACTCCTGCTGTCATAGGACAGGAAAAACTTACACCAACATCATATATCAAAGTAATTCTAGGAATGTGCAACACTGATACCACAGCTGCATTTTAAATGAAAGGGAAAAATTGAAAGTCATCCATTAAAAACAACTTAAAAAATAAATTCTCAGACAAAGAAATAATGTAGTTCCATTTGGAGATGCACTGTAAAAGGTAATAAACGCCCCCCCCAAAATGCAAATGTAGAAAGCAGGGAGTTTGTACCCCTGTGACTTGGTGACATAAGCAAAGATGTGCATTGACAAATCAAAGAGGAATCAAAACCTTAACGACCTCCTGAAATACCAGCTTCAGACACTGCCCCATGCATAAGCACAAACATGTATATACAAGTGATATATGCTAAACTCAGTAAGCTTGTAAAAATTGCTCTTTTAAATTAATCCCTCCTTTATAAGAGCAGAAGACTTACGACATTGAGTGACATGATGATCATAAAATTGATACAGACTCCAGTGCCAGACGTTGCAAACTGCCAGTACTTCTTGATGAAATACCACTTGAAAGAAGCAAACTGCTCCATGGCCACCAGTCGATACACCACCACTGCAAACACTGCAGTGAGGACCAGTGAGATCTGCAAGGGGGTATTTACAAGCAGAGATATTAGACCAAAAGGTAGATATGATATCTAAAATAATATTCCGCAGAAATAATAAATCAACAAGTGTTTTAAGGATCCCCCATTTGTTTTGGAGAGAACAAAAATACTAGATGAGTTAAAAAAATTTTTTACTGCTCTTTTACAATGTAACTACATTCCATCTTTTGAAAGAATGAAATCCCTAAACAATAGTAAGACTGAGACAATCAGTTTTGCCTATATAATCTTAATGAACGCACTCATGAGGAGTTACTATTTACATCAGAGTAAAATGAATTACAGTACAAGAATTCTAATATTATTAAACATCACCATGAAGAATATTCCTGAGACAGACACCATCAGTCGACTGAGCTTATCAGGGAAAGGTTGAAAAGGTTCAGGTTTTCCTGTAATGGGATTTACTCTTTCCACTTGGGAATATTTAGCTTCAAACTGGGGACGAAGCTCTTCCTGGAATGACAGGATGGATTCCATTTGTTGTATTACTTATTTCTCTCATGAATCAGACATATATATGCTATAAAGTAGAAAATTATACTGACACAATTATTTTTTATAATGCTTCAACTAAAACACCCAAATAATTTGTACTTTTGAAAACCCTTGGAAACAGTGCCAGAGAGCAGCAAAGAACAGAGCTCATAAGAGCCTTCCCCACTATGTGAGGGTATTAAAAAGAAGGCATTACTGATTTAGACACTAGATTGTCTGCAGAAATTGATAAGAAAAATAATGTCAGTTATAATGGTGTTTTTTGTGATATGAAACCATTTATTAAAAGCCACCAGCTTGTATCTACCCATCTATGGAAAGCTATAAAACAAGTAAAGTCTATCGACTTAAACTGTAATTAAATCATCAATATAGTTAAATTACAGCTATGTTAACTAATGATTTATGAAATAATAAGATCATTTTATCACTGTTCATGCTGATAGCAGAATGGTCAAAGGATAATCTATGCCTCTCAGAAGGATATAAAATCTAGTTTCTGTCCCTTTGCTTGTCTTGATCCCATTTTTAGGCAGGATCATGAATTTCTACTACAAGAAACCACAGAACTGAAAGGCATCTGTGCTGACATCAGTAGTAGCTCCTGTCCTCTGTATGGAAAGTATTTCCACTCAGTTTTTCAAAGGATGCTTTTGATAAATGTGGAATTATATTTGGAATAATAATGCCAGTTGCAGAGGGTAAAGTATCCTTGTGTAGTCTCAAATATACCTGTTTATTCTGCAACTAGTGTTACTAACAGAAATATAATCTGAATGACAAACTCAGATGACAACACACAATATGGATTCATATTTACACTTAGATCATGCTTTACATGTTTTCTTCTGTTTCTTACCTCTTCATCTTCCCAGTCTATGAGGTCCCAGTCATAGGTTAATACAGCTCTCCGTCTTTTCCAAAACTCTAGGAAGACTGTTGCTGTGGAAAACAACTGCAGGTTAATTATAGCAAAAAACAAACAAAAAAAGGGCGACGCAGATCTCACGAAAATCAGCAATGTAATGTGATAACTGTCATTAGCCATTTTCTGACAGTTTTCCCCATAGAATCTGAAAATTGTAAGTAACTTCAGGATAATCACTGTTAAAATTGAAACACTATTTTCAATGTTAAAGAATCTTTTTTGTTGTTGTTGTCTGCTATATCTGTACAGAGAGGGGTACCTGGCAATATAAAACAGTGCCATCCCCTTTAATTTTGCTTTTAATTTTACTCAAAATATAAAATCTTTCCTTGAAGAAACGAGGATACACATACACAACAGTAACAATAAAGAGCTAAAGTATGATCTCATTTTATTCGGTTCTAATGAAGACAACCTCACTGCTTTCCCAGCTATATCAGTTTTATACTGCAGCAGCTTTACTACCAAAATAATTCTTTAAACAATTATTTCTAATCTAGGTGTGAGGCCATAATCAGATTCTCCCAGTTTTATTTAGCTGGACTCCTCTACAGCAGCAAAACTATGCAATCAAAACAGTCCTACAGGTTTTGTACCACACCTCCTATTGAGAAATGCTCTTCAGAATTGAAACTAGCACTTAGAAAAGTATCAGCTATAGCTGAAGGATGGCTTAGTCTCCTCTCACCCTCCTGGAGTACTCTGAACCACTTTGCCTCCATACGGTCACAGCTCTGAATCTGATCCCACCTGGAGGTTTTTCCCCTCCAGGAACAGCGGGTCAGCACTCAGCGCCAGCATTCTGGCACCACACTGCAGGTGTACAACACTTAGCCAAGAACTGAGTCACAAACATCTTCCATCAGGTGTTATGTCACTCAGGGAACCAGTTTTTACTTTTCCTAACAGATGAATTAAACTGCTAACGAACAAAAGAGAGAGCGAGCACACCCTCCCGAGGCCAAAGCTGAGGTCCAGGACAGCACTAGAGGGGTATGACTTTTGTACCACTGCAATAGATATACTTCAACAGAATTTCAGACTGTGTACTTAAGGTATTGATATCTGCAAATATTATACATCCATTCAAATAACCTTTCATCTTAAAAGCTCTCAGAAAGGCACACTATAATGTGTGCACACTGGTGTGAAGAATACTGTTGACCTCAGTATATCACTTGTGATTTGGTTAATGCTGTGTAAGATTTGGACACAAATTCATGGTGCTTGTTTTCAGATCTCATGGTCAATCTGTTACATGCCTGTCCACCCAGGCACAGCAGTAAATGTGAGTTGGAAGCTTGCTGATACACTCTGCAGAGAATGTTAGATTCCAAAGAAATAAAACCAAAAACCAGAAAACCAAAACAGCAGTATGAGACTCTGTCCTCCCTCCTCTCATAGACCACTCCATCTCATGCCACATAAACAATTTACTTCCCCTAAAAGGGATATTAGAAAGGGTAGAACTTGATCCATCTAACAGAGTAACTTCCACTTGTCCCCGCAGTACTTTCAAGAAAACACCACCAGTTGCTTCCATATAAACACTTCCTGTAGATACCACATCCTCGATGCTTATCTCAAGGATAAGTTATGAAACAGTACTTGCACTTGATTCCTTAAAAATTTAAAGTGGAAACAGATGACAATGTCCTGGCATTCCACTCAAACGGTCACACAATACTGAAACATTTTTCAGTCTCTCTTCACCACATACCAGCCTAGAATAAACATACATAAAGGATTAAAGAATAAAAAAAGTCACAGGTTGACTGGGTGAGCACATGAAGTTCTATATTACATACCTGACTTTTTCATTCCTACCTTAATCCAGTATTTTTTATATAAAACCTAAAGGGAGGAGTAACAGTTGTAACCTTCAGATCCCGAGCTGGTTATGTAAAAATTAATGATGTCTGATAAATTCAGAAAATTTGGATTTACATTGTTCTCTTAAATTATTTCAACTACAAACATATTTGGAGACAGGAACAGATCCATTTCTAGCAGCATGCTTTTCTTAACAGAACTCATATTGCTGCTTTATTTTGTAGAAGACAGGCCTTTGCCAGTTCTCATCTCACCAAGTGCAGGAAACCGCGATAAGGAGCAGCTATCTTTCGTTAAACTAACAGTTGCATAGTACACAGAGTTTCTGTAGCTCACAGAAAGCAGTCACTCCTGCGAAATACTAGCTCAAAGACCCTGAAATTATTAAGCAATATGCACCGTCTGCCCACTTTACCATAAGCACTGCCATTTCTGTGGACTCTGCGACGACAGAGCAGGGTCACGGCAGCGCAGGGTCGGTGGGGCTGGTTCCCCGAGGCTGGGGAAGGGCTGCCCCACCCGGCCTCGCCCCACGGGCACGGCGTGTTCCTCACCCGCTGTCCCACGGCTGCCCCTCCTGCACCTGCACTCCCCCTCCCCGCCAGAACAACTGGGCTCGGGGCCACAGCAGTGTTTCAACAGCTTCTTCCACGTTTCGCGGCGCTCAAAGGTAAGTCTGAGGGGGTTTTTTTTAATGCTTATTAGTGGATGCGATTAATGATCACAGTATTCATTTATATCGTGTTCAGGCAGGTGACTGGTGTCGTTGTAGTCAAATTCTACTTAAAAGTGTATTTATTAAAATAATTGAAAGTAAAAACCATTTTGTGATTCAAACACCTAAGCAGAGAAGTAGCAATCATAAGCAATGACACTATTTCCCTCAAACTCACACTTTTCTTCTGTGGTTATTCATGCTCCTTATCAAGGAAGTGTAGGATTTCTCTCAAACTAAGTTCAGAGCCCATTTGAAATGCTGGGGAGGGTTGATGGTGGTGGTGAAGCATTCCCTGTATGCCACTTTATAGCAAACTTCTGCTAGAAACTACATTGCTCTCTTGAGTTTAGTTCTACCAAAAATGAACAGGAAACACACACTTAGGAAATTTGGCCAGTGCACTTAATACTTGTCAAGTTGCTAGACAGTAACTGAGGTTATAAATGGAATTAATTATAGACTACAATTCATATTTACATTCCTCTTCATAGTTCACTAAAAACTTAAAACATTATTTTCTCGGAACAAAAAATACATTTAAGCTTAACAATGTAACATTAATTGCTCATTAAATTTAGAAGTATCTCATTCTTGGAGAGCAATCTGAATTTTAGAGCAAAGAGCCACATGAGCAAACATCCAGTATGTTTGCAATTATTTCTTTCTGAATTCTAGGAAGATAAATTCTCTACCTCTCATTTTATATGTTCCATCTATTTTTGGTTCACTGATGCAAAGGTAAAAAATGTGTGAAAATTCTGCAGATATGAACGTTACCTCAGATCAAAAGAGTGCCATTAACAATTTGTTAATCACATCACCACTTACTCCATAAATTAAATTACTTTCTAATAACTAATGTAAGGTGGGGAAATGGTGAAAGGTTCAATTTAATGACATGCAAAATAATGTAATTTGAATTTATAGTTCTGAAGACTCTATTATCTATCCATAAGAAGTTGAAATTATTATTTTCTTGACAATAGCAGAGGTTTTGCAGATATTACACCTACCACTGGTAGGTGCTGGGTTGTAGTCAGGAAATATATGTTGCAATCACTTTATCATGCCAAAAATCTATTTTTGCACACTAAGGTTCACATTGGAGGGCCATTTTTATGGGATATTGCATTCATATCCTGGTGAATTCCTCAAACAAGGGCCACTACATCTCTTCATAAAGCCTCACACTGAATGAGAAATTTTAACCTTCCCCCTTCTAGAACTGACTTTTATTCTTACTCAGCTGTCACGGGCCTTGGATGCAATTTGACCCCAGCAGCACAGACACAAATGCAGAGTGCAAAATCCACTAAGAAACATGATGGTGACCATCCTGCATAAAAAAATCCTCCTTTTTTTATGCTAAAAAAACAAAGGTAGAGCTAATCTAGGTAACTGAACTGCAGCTTAATCCCATACTGATGGCAGCTCCACTCACTTCAGGCTACGCCTGTTGCACTGATTGCCACTGAGCTGGTACCTGAGGAATGTGAATACCAGTGAACCAAAACTCACAATAGTTTTTTTTCCAATTAATAATCTGTTCATTGCTTCCTTAAACACTTACTTGACCTGCTAATGTAAGGTTTGGGCTCTTCTGCAAGTTTGGCTAATCTATAGCTCTGCTGTTTTACTGCAAGAGCACTGTTTGCATATTAATCCCTAAAGGCAATGAGTGTCTTTGAAGAACTTCAGTGTTTTTCTAAATTGTGTGAACACTGATATTACACTAGAAAAAAGAAGAATTAAGTATTACACACAAAAGAAAGCAGTTCAACACAGCCTGAGATCTACAACTTTCAAAGCAAGGAGGTCTCTTCTCCATGGTCTCCCGTAAAGATTGCACAAGTAAGACAATCACAAAAATGACAAAGAATTTGTTCAGCAAGGATACTGACTCCTTTTTTCACTCCTTTAGGAATTAAAATTACAGTCAAATTGAATTAAGTATAATTTTGCTCAGTAGTTTAGTTGAAGTGCATGGATAATAAGGAATTTGACCAAACACAATTTGTTCACTTAATATGACTAATATGATACAAGGAAGGAAAGAACATGTCACTGAATTAAAACAATAATACTGTTAAAATGAAAGCACATGTTTGAAAACCTTGGGTTTTTTCTTCAGGTTTGTTTGGGTTTTTTGGCAGTTATTACTGCTAACAAATCAAAATCTAAGATTCAGACAGCACATTTCGTAGCCATCTGAAGGCCTACTGTTCTTACTGTAAACACAACTGTAGCTGATAATTTAACTTCAAAAGGGTTTTCCTTGGCTTGCTTGTTTGGGAACAATGTGATCATCCTGAATTTCACGGATATTTGAGCAGAAGTCATCTTTTTTATTTTTGTTGAGAAAGTTACAAATGTTTTCCAAGCATAGGTCCCTCCCACCATAGAGCTGATCTTAACTTGGAAAATAAGCAGTATGGAGAAATGGAATACACATTAAAAAGTAGA